CATTTAAATATTATCAGTGGAAATCAATAGCAGTTTATGGGCGGCGCTCCAACCAAACATGATAACCATCCGGCATCTTGATTGACCGTTGTGACCCCAGAGAGAAATAGGTCGTGGAAAAGACGTGGATTCCACGTGGTTTCGTGGACTTTTCGTGGTGGTGGATACATCCACGAGATATCCACCACTATTTACCTTTCCAAAAAGATGCAAATAAAATCAGAAGAAACCATTTTTACATCAACATTTCTCACGAAAAGGGATCTTTATTGTTCTGAACGCCATATTTCAGTATATTGTCAATTCGACGTGGAATCCACGTCGAATCGACGTGTATCAGTTCGTCTGTCGTGTACACGTCGATTCCACGTTGATTTCACGTCGGTTGCCTCGAAACCCTTGATTTAGTTGCTCGTACCAGTTCGTCTCAAATACCTATGCTTCTCACTTTAAAACAGCGCCAACGAAACTGTTAGACATTTATTCTGTGACAGAGCACACGCTTTTCATTTGTCATTTTCATTGAAGAATACTTAGAAAGTGTTCTTGACAGAACACCTTTCAAAATATTCCGCCACGACACCACAGAGAGTCTCGTTTCGAACGGAAAAAAGAAGGCACCGTACGTTGTTTACATTCGAAATGTCGTATCGTGTCTGTGGTCTTCTACTACAAAATATTACTACAAAAAATTAAACAAGCGTAAGTGAATACCATTTTTTTACGTTTCCTCTTTGTATTATCGCATTGTCAGTCTTGTTAGTAATTTCTTGTCGTGCAGGTTTTGTCTTCTGTGGACGTTTAGTGATATAGAGGCACAAGAGCATGCTTGAACCAGAACTGCTGCCGTTAATCAAAGTCGGAAGGTAAGGAAGGTCCCAACTTCAAAATTCTCAGCGTGATTCGGTTAAATGGATTTAGAGTCGAGAAAAGATATCTAATCTCTGTCTTGTATTGTGGGCGAAGTATAGACTAAGTTAGTTTGGTTTAGGTTATCTTACTTAACCTCTCAGGTATGTCTTGAAGCCTGAAGAAAAAAGTGATTACACTTCAACTCAAAATTTGTTTGTGTTTTTCACCGAACTTTTCTACTGTTGTTACACAGTGTTATTGTCAGTGCATTGTTTTGAACTCTAGATGAGGTAACGGTGAAAGACTTGTCTCTCTGATAGAGTGTGTTTTTGAAATTATATTCTTGTCGTTACTTTTTCAAATTCAAATGGTTGTTATAAAAAGTCTAACCACTTTTTATAACAATATTGCCTCCATATTCATAGTAATTTAGTTTGATTTATTTTCAGGTGCTTTGGTAGATTGCAATAAGGAGGTAGCAGGGGTAGTACCTTCTGCTGAAGAAGTCATTAAAAACTGGCTGATGTATGCAGGGAAAAGACTGTTTATGGTTTTCTTTAAGTTGTGTTGCATCTAGTCATTGTTATTTTTGTTTTAAAGATTAGGATTTATTTCTTTGTGCTATTGTTTTCATGTTTCATCAAACACTGTGAAAAATATATTTGTACATGTACGATATATTTTGTAATTTGCCATTTACAATACGAGTCGTACATGTACAACCTCCCACTGTCGCTCCATATTCGATTCCAAGTCGATACATAGGGCTAGTAAATTATTGTACAATTTTAGATTGTACTTGTACGACTTCTTACATGGAAAATTTTCCTGTACCCGTACGACAATTTTTCACAGTGAATAAAGTCAACATTCTACTCAAAGAAACTGTTTCTCTCTGTACTGCTTACCCTTTACCTAACCATATAAATTGCAGAGTTATACCTAAATTTGAGATTCAGATCTGCATGTAGCACATTTGTACGTGGAGACGTTTACGTCGACGTCACGTTGAATCGACGTGATCAACACGTCGATAAATCGTGGATGGGATAGTCAAATTCACGTGGATAACACGTGAATTCATCACGTGTTATCCACGTCTAACACCACGTCGATTCCACGTCTTTTCCACTAAAATTTCTTTCTGGGGACGATGGTCACCTAGTCGAAGACGAACAACGGCGATGCAACTCGACACTTGAAACCTATACACACGGAGTTCGTGGAGGCTCCGTATAAACACGCAGTTCCCGGGGGCTCGGTACAAACACGGAGTTCAGCAGGCCGCCGTAAAGGGTCGTAACTATGTTTTTTGAAAATTTCGAGTTATGAAGTGCGTCGGATAGAGGAAACCAAGGGCTATCGATCAGCGAAAACCGCATTTCGATATGTCAATTAGTTT